AAAAAGATAGCAATGCTACTATTTATGTGTAATGCTATGGCTTTTGAAACCAGTTTGCATGGAAACAAACAAAAAAAAAAAGATTGTCTTGCCTCTGCAGTTTCCTAAATTTCTGCATCTAATGTTGCTTACATCTTTGCATGTGACGCTGCATTGGCCACACGTTGCCTCCCAGTAACTGGCAAGGTGCTTCCGTGGAAATGATCATACACGCAGGTCTACCCACAATACACCAGAAAATGCACTGTTGGCTCACTTTTTGGTCACATTAGATTTACCACTTAGAGTTTTATAGTATAAACGCAAAAACCACATTTTCAATTTATAGCTCTTAACTTTGAAGCCATCATTCTTGAGTTCCTAGTACACGATCTCCTGATCTCTCTGTTTCCTACATACCTGCTTCCTATACTTCCTGTACTTTCCTCTGCAAGAGACCATGGACAGGGTGAAGAAAGTGTAACAGGAGTGAGATGGGGGGCTGCATGCCTGTGATCTCAGCACTCTAGGTAGCTGAGGCAGGAAGATCACAAATTCAAGTCTAGCCCGAGAAACTCTGGAACTTAGTGAGTTCCTGTCTCAAAAAAAAAAAAAAAAAAAATTAAGAATGGGCTAGTGATGTAGCTCAGGAAGCAGGGTCTAGGCTCAATCCCCAGTACCAACCCAAGTAAGGAGAGGAGGGAGGAAGAGAGAGAGAGGAGAATACTATTTTACAGCAAACTTTTTATGAGCAGGATTACTCGCTAAAGTAATAAAAGTATAGTATAGTGTAGTGTAGTACAGTGAACACATAAAAACTGATAACAGTTGTTGATCACCATTATCAAGTATTGAGCATAGTTCATAACTGCACTGCTGTACTATTTTATGACTGGAAGCACAGTAGGTTTGTTTGCTTCAGCACCACCTCAAATACGTGTGCAATGTATTGCACCATATCATGATGGCTGCAAAATCACCAGGCTCCATTATAACACAGCCCTATTATAATCTCATGTGCAACACTGACAGAAAAGTTGCTATGTGGCACATAAATGTGACACCTTAAAGAGCTGGTGTACAACTAAGGCAACTCAAGCCTTCTACATCTGGCCAAGTCTCTTTTGGATACACATGATTAACCCTGGAGGGATATGGGTAAGCTCACAAAAGGACTGACCACATCAAACAGTGTGAGAGAAGAATGGATTATCATTGGCCAAATATCTTCCAGTCCAGAGTATGTGAGGGACACTGTATTCATCATATTTTTCTCTATTTTATGATGTTTTACCACTTAAAAGTGTGCTGGATGGGGAGGCTGCCCCCTGCCCTGGGGTAGCCAATTCTCAGTGACAGTCAAGGTTTTTGTCTAATCTGCCTCTCACATGCAAACCAAACAGTCCTGAGTATGAAGCTCTACTGGCCTCCCTGTCGAACTCACACCCCAATCCCTAAATCATCCCGGAGCCAGGTACTAGGCAACTACAGACCACCTTTCTACCCCAAGCCCTTTCGCTGTGATTACACCTGGTTGCCTTGCTTTTCTCACGGAAACCCCAATAAAGGGCCTGGCCTAGTCTCCTACCTACTCCCACCCCTGCCCTGGTCACATAGCCAAAGCCTGGTGTCACCACTGTGACCCTTCATAGCACATAGTGACTCCCCTCTGGGCCCTGTGTGTATAATAAATGTCCTGCCAAGCCTGGTTCTCTTCCTCTCCTGTGGCCACACCACCTATTCCACACCACATCCCACATTCACATTCCCACAACAGCCGTCCATTCTTACTTGTCAGTAAACGAGCGTCTGTGCTATCTCTCAAGGTATCTAGACTGGGTGAGTAGAAACATCATCATTCCTTTCGTAGAACTAGAAAATAAGACTAAGTTTGATGGGCAGAATAACGAATATGATCTGGAGATGGTGAGTTTGGTATTGCTGACGGCTGGTGTGCAAGAAGAGTGGTGGCCATTGTCTCTGGACTCAGGTTCTCCAAGGTGGGGGGTCCTGTCCTTCCACTATCAAGCTGCTGTCCTTGGGCAAGAGAACCTCTGTAAGCCTCAGCTCTTTATATATAAAACTAGGCAAATGCTGCCCCTATACAAAAGAGCTGGTCTAAGAGTTCACTGTAACAATCTATGCAAAGCACTCAGCACCTAGTAAACGTTAGGTAGCAGCCACCACGAGCAATGGTGTTAGTGCAGATGGAGGCTGGGTTCTCCCCACACTTCCAGGATGCAGCACACAGAAAGCAATCACTGATGCCCTCTGTGAGGACCAGAGGGAGGGAAGAGCTCACCTCCTCTCAGGCTTAGCTCCAGGAGTAACCATAGATGACTTGACCTTGAACAAGGAGGTAGGCCTCCTACCTGGGAGCGTGGCATCCTGCCTTCCAGACCAACCAAGTCTTTTTCAGAACTTTGCTCTTCCCAGGTAATGCCGCTGCAGCTAAAACTTCACTCTACATCCTCCCTATTGGATTTGATTCCATAGATCGTTTGCTCTAAAAGGTTGAAATTACAGTGTTCGTATTGCAATAAAAGTCCTTGCCTTGATGCTCCTGTTATTTGTTAAAATGTGTAATAGCCGTCTCTAAGAACCTCACATTAGGAAGCAGAGGAAAGGCACCTGGGCCCGGGATGCCAGCAGTAATTGAAGCCTCTCTGAGCCAGAGCAGAGAGCTGGGGACAATTCTGCACCTAGGGGAGGGGCTGGGGTTCAGAGCACACCCCAGCTGGGCTGTTTCTTGGAGCTCCCCAAGGTTCTGAGCAAGTGCAAGGTCCTGGAAATGGGCTTGGAAAGCAGGTACAAGAAAGGAGCAAGAAACTGAACATTGAGGTAGACTTCCTACCAGAGGAAGAACGCAGAGAGAGCCCTCCAGGCCTTGACACACTGGACGTTGGCCTGAGTCGCTCATTTGCAGGAGTAGGGGCTTGCCTGGAACATGACCTAGGCCTGTCTGCCCTTCAGGGCTCCAGAGTTTCCCACAGCCCAGCTCCTTCAGAATACTGTGTCCTCTGCCAGCTGCCTCTTTAGAAAGTGGCCTGATAAACTAAACTCCTGCTTTAACAGCAAAAATTCTCAAAATATCTTCTAACTGCAGATTCCTGAATTTAGTAACATCCCCCTCAAAGCGTGGCTCTCTAGTGATGAAATTTCAAGCCAGAGACACGCCAATCCAGGAGAAATTTGGGAGCAGACTAGGCATTATGAAGAAAGCAAATCACACTGGAAGAGACTGATCATCCCACTGTGCATCCACCCAACGCTGCTTCCTACAGCATTCACGCAGCAAAGGAATACCAGTGCTATTCAGGGGCAGGGAGTGTGTTTATGTTTTTCCTTCCACTATTCCCTTTAACCCACGACCTACATCAAATTTGCAGAGCACCAAAGGGCTGAAGGTGACCAGCAAGTCTGTAACCTATTCAAGACCGCAGTGGTCACATACTGGTCTCCCGAATCCCATGACATATGGTAGACAGGTAACTCACCCAACAAACTACAGCATGAGACCCCAGTCGTGTAAATACTGGGCGACGCTTTCTCCCCCCAGCAACTTCCTAAAAATCATGTTGCAGAAAATCAAATAGCAAATGTTTCTCTGCCACACTTTCCCTGCTAGATGCCATGACTTAAGCACTTAGTGCAAGGGAAACTAAAAGGGAAAATTCCAAAAGAGCTCTGGGCACTAAGACAGCTTTAAAACATGGCGTTCACAGCTCATCTTCTTTTTTAGTAACTGGGAGAGTCACCCTGACCCACATAAAGCAAAGAATCTGAGTGTTACAACCCTGCTTTGAAGAGGATCTGCCTCAGTTGAGTTCAAAGGGAATAAAAAACTAGGTCAGTTGCCCAGGGTTGTTGTTTTTTTTTTTTTTTTTTAAAGAAAAAAGGAAAGGGGAAGAAGAAAAAAAATGTATGTCTAGTGAAGCTGATATCTTCCAGCCTTTATTGTCTTGGTGCCTAACCAAATGAAATAAATAAACTAGTAGCGTGTGAATTTATATCAAAGGCATAAGCCTGAATGCCCAAGGAACACCAGTTTATTTGAGCTACTTCTGTGCAGGCCACCTGCTTCCCTCTTGCTCCTGTGCAGGAGCCTCCTGGACCTAACAGTATGCCAGGGAGAAGTATTCCCTTGCATCACCTGCAGTCTCTCAGAGCAGGTCCCCCTGCAGGGCCTCACACAGGACTACTGCTGCTCTCCCCTGCCCTTAATCCCTCATTCATTCATGCATGCATCAGATGCTCTCACTGATTCCTTGGGTCCTGAGCTCCTGCATCTCACCTCATCTTTCAAGGAGCCCACAGGCAAGGTGTTATTTTCCCCAGTTTACCAACAAAGCTCAGAGGGTGATGAAAGACCCAGAGTCTAAGTTCATCTGCCTCCTCCAAAGCCGTAGTTTTTTCTGGGTCAGAGTCCATTCTTGGAGGCTTCAACATCCAGCTACATAAGATACCCACGTGGCACCCTTTGACTACCCACCCCCCAAAGAATTCCTTCCTATGTCTCTCTCTCACCACCCTGTGCACTCCTTGATGGGAACTGATGACCTCTTACTCATTTTTTCAATGAATATTTTTCATGAAATAAAGTTTGTTCTAAAAAGCAGGTGACCCCCCCCAACAGGGGCAGCTAAGAGTGGAGAGAATAGAAAAGTTCTCTTCTGCACATTCTTGCCACCCTGTCCACCCCTGGGTTTAATGACACCATCTACATATAGCTGTTTCTGACCATTTCTTATGGCTGAAATATGGATCCTGGGTAATCTTCCTCCTCACCAGTTTGTTTCTGTGTGTTTCCTTAGGATGCATGAGATCAGTGCCAGCAGAAAATAGCCTACTTGAGGGACAATTCAGTAAAGGGCCTGTGACAGGGAAACCAACAAGGGACTGAAGGCGTTGAAACTGGCAGTGACAGGAAGCTTCCGTGCCCATGCAGAAGGGAGAGAATCCGGGAAAGACCTGTATCACCTCCTGGTAAGAGTCAGAGCCCTAAGAAGCAGCCACCTCACCGGAGCTGTGTGTGAGAATGCAGCCAGGCTGGAAGGAAGGGACAGAGCTGGCTGAGTCACTCAGAATGCAGCCAGACAGCAGAAGAATCCAGGTGACATTATACAGGTGAGGTTCATCTGCAAGACAGAGACACAGACCAGGAGGTATTGATGAGTGATATTTAATCAGCACAGGCCCTTCCTCCTAAGGATCCTGAGGTATATCCTGAAGGTCCTCCAGACCTACCTTCTTAGAGTCAGAAAGGTGCATCCTCCGCAATCAGCCTGACTCCAGCTCCACCTGGAGCTTCAAAATCAGTGGTCTTGTCCCCAAGTCACCAGTGCCCTAATGAATCCAGCAAAGACATAATTCTCATCTAAATGTCTCAAATCAGTGATTTTCCATTGAATAACTGCTATGTGATGGGTACTTACACACAAATGACATGCTCTGTGATCCAGGTCCTTCAGGAGCTCATGATTTTTTTCTGTTAGAAAAATCAGTCCAGTGCTGAAAAGTTAAATAATAATGCCAGAGACCCTCTGCTCACAGCCTGTTTAAACAGTTTAGTGTAGTGGCAAAGGTGATGGGCTTGAGTTAAAACATTCACTGTTTTGGGTAAGTGTCTGCCACAGACCTGTGTGTTAACGCTTGGTCCTCATGAGGCACTACTGGGAGGTTAGAAAACCTTCAGAGATGAGGCCTGGTGGGAGATTTTAAGTCAGTGTGTGTGTGTCTCTCTCTGTGTGTGTGTGTGTGTGTGTGTGTGTGTGTGTGTGTGTGTGTGTGTGCTCTTTAAGAGGATTGTGTAGCTCCAGTCCCTTCCCCTCTCTTGTCTCTCTTCTCCTCTCTCCTCTCTCCTCTCTCCTCTCTCCTCTTTCATTTCTTCTCTCCTCTCTCCTCTGTCCTCTCTTCTCTCTCCTCTCTTCTCTCATTCCCTTTCCTGTCCAACAGGAGGTAAGCAATTTCCTCTGCAGTGTGTTCCTGCCATGAGGAGCTGCCTCACCCCTGTCCCAAAAGTAGTGGAGTCAGCAGGTCATGTGTGGAAGCCTCCAAAGCTATGAACTAACATAAACTTTTCCTCTTCATAAGATAATTATCTCAGTTATTTTGTTATAGTAATGGAAAGCTGACTGTCACACTCTCTGAAATCTGATCTTGGTTTTGTGGCATTTTAGCTGCAGGGCCATAATAATTCACTACTTCTGGTTGCCTCTCCCATTAGAAGGGGTGGGTCTCAATGACTTCTACTGTCTGGCCCTCTAGTTCTATGGGTCTATGAAGGGCAGAGAACATGAATGATTTCTAAGTTCTATAGAACAAGGAAGCCTGCAGTGGCCAGAGAGGTTTCACCAAGGTACAGGGTATTGATCTGGGCCCAGAAGGACAGGCAGTGTAGGGAATGGAAAAGGTGGTGAGGAGGAAACTCTGGGCAGAACAGCCAGTGCAAGCTAAGGCATAGAGGCCAGAGGGGCATGGCCCATGAGGCAGGGCAGTAGGACATGGCTCCAAATGGACGTCAAAACAAAACTGTGGATAACAGGAGCTGTAGAGGGGCTGAGTAGAGTAGGGATGGGTGACATGCTCCTATCAAGCTGTAAACATGCCCACCACTGAAACCCAAAACTTATTTTCCGTCACTTAGCTCCACTGGGAAAGTGAGAACCTAGGAAATCAAATCAGAGCCAATTCCTGGTCATTAACTCTGGAATAAAGAGCCTCGAGTTGTATTTCTAAAGCACAAATCAAGTTAAGCTACTCTCTTGGTTATAAGCTTGCCATGGTCCCTTCTGCCTGCAGGATTATGTCCAAACCCCTTAGTGTGACACGCAGTCTCGTCTGATCCCACGAGGCGAGGCTGCTCGTGGCTACACTAAGCAAGCCACTCGCTAGCTGCCCTCCATTTCGCAGACCAGCCTCTCTAAGCATAAACCCTCACTCATCCAACCAGCAAATACTGAAAGAACATGTACTAAGTATTCACTCTACCCCAGGTCCCAACTCTTCCAGAGTGATAAAATCAGGTACAACTCCCCCTTTCCTAGTGCTTCACGTCTGGAGAAGGTGTGTTAGTCCATTTTGAGCTGATACAGTAGAATACCTAAGACTGAGTAATTTATAAAGAAAAACTTATTTCTCACAGTTCTGGAGGCTGGGAATACCAATCAGGATATGATGAAGGGCATCACATGGCAAAAGAGCACACGTGCCAGCTTCAGCCTTTCTTAAAGCCACTGATGCCATCACAGCATTATGACCATGCCCATGACCTCATCTAACCCCAATTACTTCCCCAAAGTCCCACCCCCAAATATCTGCAACAGTGGAATTTGGGGATTAAGTTTCCAACATATGAACTTTTGGGGGACACATTCAAACCACAGCAGAGGAAGAGCAATAGCAGGGCAGATGCTAGGGGAGAGAGGGAGAGTATTCCAGGCAAAGGGACATCAGGCATATTCCTTATCTGAGGCTTTAGTGGGCTCCACTAAGCCACACCCCTTGCCAGGGTTGATCTTCAGGAAAGATGTGGCTGGAGAGGAGTCCCAGGTTTTAAAAAAGCACCATATGCTATTCTGAGGGCACTACTACAGCATTGGCACTGTAAGCATAGAAGGGCATGATCATGTTTATATCTGATTGCTGCATGGGGAATAGAATGAAAAGGGAAGGCAAATTCTTTTCTTTCTTTTTTTTTTTTTGGTATTAACTTCCAATCCATCTGTTGTTCAAGCAAATGGTGTATGTTACAGGTTGGAGCTAAACTGTTACCCAAAAATCTCATGTGTTCAGAGGGAGGACTTTTGGAAGGTGAGTGGATCATGGATCATGAGGGGGTGCCACACTCATCAACGGATTAATTCATTGATGAACTGACAGCTGAATGCACTATTGGAAGGTGGGTTCTGACTGCAAGAGGCGGGCCATGCGAGAGTAATCTAGAAGGGTATGTTCTTGTCCCTGGCTCCACTGTTCTCTCTCCCCCTGCTTCCTGGCTGTCAAAGGTTGAGCAACTTTCTTCCTCCAGGACTTTCTCACTGCCATTTCTGCCTTGGAATCAGCCAACCATGGACAGAGACCTGTGAGACCATGAGTATAAATACGCCTCTCCTCCTTTATACTTCATGTGTTTGATATTTTGTCCCAGGGACAGGAAAGTTGACTGTTACAGTCTCTTTACCTTTCCAGAGCTCACTTCTTTTATGTGGATTTTCCTGGTCTCCTTTTCTCCCTCTGACCACTCTATGGACATCAAACTTCTATTAACACGTATTCATTAAGCCTATTATGAGTTCCTGTTCTGCCAGTCTCCCCCAATGGACTATCCGCTTCTCCACAGCAACCACTGCATTGCCCCTTTTTAAATCTTTGCGCCCTTGAGATCCAGAAAAGATCCTGGAACACCACAGATGGCCAGTAGATATCTACTAGTTACTGATTAAATGAGTAAAATACCAAAATTGCAGGACCTCTCTCCAGATGGGCATGGACCAATCTATCCTCCTGGTGATGCTGGAAAATATATGTAGAATATTGTAGGACTGCAACATCCTGACTTAAGGGGCTGCTGACCAGAACAGCCCAGGCCCTGTTCCTTCAACAATTTAGCTCACCAATGTATGTTTTCCCAGGGCATCAAACTCAGGGCAGGCCACTTGTACGGTCCCTTCGCTGACATGTGAGTAGACTACAGAGATGAAACCCCAGCCTCTTCAGGCAGCTATGCTGAGCCTGAAAAGATGAGCTCACAGTGCACTGTGGGAGTCTGTTATCCTCTGCTACCTAAACATGTGTAATAAACCCACTTTGTATGGCTCGTTGTATACGTGGATATTCTGACTCACTGGGCTCAGACAAGCTTGTAAGCGGTGCACAGCGCCTCGGCTTCACACAACTCTGGGGGATCCTCCCTGAGGTTGAACTCTCCCTGGGAAGTACATTTCCATACATATAAAGAAATGTCTATGAATTAAATCAGGGCACAGACAAACAGATACCACATGAATCCAAAAATGACAAACTCTGAGGCAAAGAGTAGAGTGATAGTTATTGGGGACAGAGGGCTGGGAGTTTCAGATGTTCGTCACACTTTCATTTAAACAAGAAAGAAAGAAATTCAAGAGATCCATTGTACACACTGTGACTGTGCTAATCAGATTCCACTGCAACAACAATATGTCTGAAAAAACAATTTAAAAGGAGGAAATAGGTACGCCGGCTCACAGTTGCACAAGTTGTAGGACATGGTCACTTGAGCCAGTCACTTTGGGCTTGTGATGAGGCAGAACATTATGCCAAGAAGCATATGGCGGAACAAAGATGCTCACATCACAGCAGCTGGGAAGAATAAAAGAGAGGAAGGGGTAAGAGGTTGTCCCTGTACCTAATATGCCCTACTTCCTCCAATGGGGCACCACTTCCGGAAGTTTCTACCTCCTCCCCACACCAGAGTCAGTTGAGGTCAAGCCTTCAACACATGAGCTTTAGGAGGATGGGATGTTTAAGGCCCAAACAAAGTAGTGACTATATAGTTCATAATAATGGATTGTATACTTGGAAATTGCTAAGAGTAGATTTTTTTTTTTTTTTGGCTTTTTTTCCAGTACTGGGAATCGAACTCATGACCTCATGCTTGCCAGGCAGATGCTGTGCGGCTGAGCTAAATCCCCAGCCCTTGAGAGTAGATTTTAAATGTTCTCATCACAAAAAACAATAAATACTCATACATGAAAAAATGAAGGCATTACTGAGGCTCAGCTTAGACTTTCTGCCACATATGTATAAATACATTTTCCAGAAATATATACAATTTTTATTTGCCAAGTGAGCAAACCAATTTAAAACAAAATGAAGCATCCATATTTTTTTTCTCAGAGACAGAGACATCCTTTATACCCACATGGAGGGGTTCCCCATGCCAGCCAGACCTTGCTGACCCCATGAAAGAGTTTGGACTCAGCATGGATGAAGGACACAGATAGAGGTGCAGCAGAGAAGGGGCCATTGTGTTCTGCTCAACTCAAGTCCAAGGAAAACATCTGACACTGAGATGGACATTCAATAGCCAGTGTGTTTGAGTTAAAGGAGAGATGGAGCGGGAAGCCTTTGTAAGTGGCAGTGAGCAAGAAAAACACTTGCTTTGGTGTTTCCCAGGAGCCCAAATTCAAAGTAAGACAAGGCCAAGACCAGCTCTATTTGGGCCCTCCATGCATTGGACCAAAGGGACAAGAGCAGAGCCCTTTACCTGCAGGCAAGGAATGCAATACCCCCTGCATTTACATTCCTGGGTGCACACACTGTTTTCAAGTCCTGGGATGTGATGTTGATGAAAGACAGTTAATTCAATTTCTACAAAGAAATTGATTAATGGACTGGATTAAAAGAAGTCCCTTGTGTCTGCAGCCTTTGCCCAGCATACCAATTCCACGTTATCTGGCCTGGCTTCCTCCTTCCCGCCTCGCTTGACACTTTGACAATACGCACTCTGGCACAGCAGGAAGAGGGAGGGAGGGAGGAGAGATGAGAAGCTGCAGATTAGAGTTCGAGTACACCTCTATATTTAATTAGTTCTATTAATATTTAAAAATAATAATAAAAGAGCCCCTTAGAGAACATACTGATCTTGGAATTGTTTTTGAGACTGACAGCTGTTCTGTCTGGAGCAGGATTCTCCCAGGGGCTGGAAGGACTCAACTCTTTCTTTGGCTAGAAGGAGAGAAGGACAATAAACCAGGATTCACAGCCACCTTGAAATTTCATTTGGGGTGAAGCCCAAGCCCAAGGTTGACGCAGCTTCTCTCTGCTCCTACGGCACACAGAGCCCTGCCCTGGCTCCCTCACCAGTGCTGTGGCTGTTCTTAGTCTCTACTCGCCTGGAAAGACCAGAGAGTGATTCCCAGAGACCCACAGTCAGGTTCTACAAGGAACCTGCTCCTCTAATGTCTGGTTTCTTTGGCCTCATGTTTGGCTGCTGGCCAGCATGGCCCCATTGTCCTTGCTGCCTCCTGTGTTCATCAGGGCAGGTTCTGTTGATGGCAACGTTTGCTCCTGAGCTAATATTTGTAAGATCCTTGCACTTTTGACAGACCTCCAGCTTCTGCAATCAGCTTTGAATCTATGTCCAGGATCAGAAAAGGATGCAGAAAATTACTGTACAAACCCAAAGCCATTATGACTGGGCGGTCCTGTGTACCTGTGCTTGCTGGGCCTGGCTTTACCACACTCCTGTCTGCAATGAAGATTCAGAGTAATAATTCCCAACACGCACATTAGCAAGGCCACCCCAGCTCTGCCTTTCCCATCTCCCATTTGAGACAAAAGCCACTGAATGCCTTTCCTAGTAGAGCAGTCTTTTTTAGTGTTGCTTAAAAGTACTTGCTGTGACTTTCCATCCACAGGGCTCCCTGTGGCCGCACCATGTCCCCTAATTCCACAGCAAGAAAGTTGCTGATGGACTTCAGGCGGCCATGGGATGCTGTCTCACTAAAGCCAGAAAAAAAAATGCTGATGAATAATTTATTCAGATGAGCCTGTGAATGTTGGGCAATGTTGCATTACAAAATAAATCAATTACAATTTCTTTAAGGAGAGAAAAAAATTTTCAGTTCATTGAAAAACTTGCAAACATGGGTAGTTTTCTGTTTATTGGGGAAAAAAGTGAAGTCCCATTTAAATAAGAACCTGCTACAATGGGTAACATCGTTTCAGTGACGCCTAAAGACAATAGCTCCTCATCAAAACTGCATCCTCCAGATGCCTGCCTTCCCTTTTTCAACTAAAATGCTGCTCCTATCAGAAGGTTAACTTTGCACTTACAAGGCTCACACAGAAGCCTAGATAAATGAAATACAGGTAAACTCACTCAAACTGGGGTTGGATACCAGGCCTGATGGCAAAATTTACCTCCTCTAGAATATTGCTTCAGGTGGACCTGGTCCTGTCTGTTCCTTCACAGAGGAAGTGACTCAAGACAACATATGACAATGAAGCACTATATCTGTGAATCTTCAGAAGATGAACTACTAGGTCTGTCAGCTTTTTCATCACTTCTAACAACACAGAACACTCATGTATCATGAGGCACTGGAGGTGCCACCAGCATCTCCAATGTGTCTGAAAGGGTCCTGCAATGGTGGGAGATTGGGGATGGGAGTGCTCTTGCCCCTGAGGAGGCAGGGAGGAATCCAATCTCCTATGTCCCGCAATACCTAAG